TTATATAATAATTTGAATCCTGGGAAGAATATTGGTATTTATCCAATGATAAGCTAGAAAAGATAGAAGGGTTCATGAGGGAAATTCTGGCCTCACTACCAGTCACCAAGGAAGTGAACGGCCAAACTATCTAAAATCATCTGGTCTCTTGGCATCTTAAAGAGATCTACACAAAGACTCCATTATTGCTTTCAGCAATGGTCAAGATCTAAAAACCAGATGTTCTCATTTTGTCTAATAAAAATGCTCTCCACTTTAATTAAAGTCCATTTGGTCCTCCATGAACAGAAAATAATTAGTTTGTATTTTCTTTAGTAAAACTTTAACATACTTGAAAATGGTAAAATTCCTCTTTTCTTTATTTTCTTTCCTTAGAGACTTATTTTTAAATCACTTTTGCCATTAACCATTGACTTAGAAGAAGCCTGAAGGTTCCTAATAGCTTCAGTTTATTTACTATATACCTCAATAGCAGCTCCACTGTCCATCCTTATATGACGAACTTTTCCTTCTGTAAAGTTCCCCCGACCCCACTGTTGTTGAGATGTTTTTCTCTCTACATTTGAGGTTCTTGAGGGCTTGGACCAAAAAAGAATTAAAAAAAAAACTTTAAGATACGATATTCTTGGTTGACAAAGAACCCTAATTTAGATAATCTGGTAAATCTTTAATGTGTGCTATGATATCTACTGTGTACAAAATAGTTTACTGTCTTTTCCAAATTCTAAGCCCTATACAATTTAATTGGCTCATTAGGCTAAAGGAGACCTTATGAAATCATTCAATCCAATCTCCTAAATCTAGGCAAATCTATATTGTAGCAGATACATCAAAACCTCTGATGCTTCTTTAAAATCACCAAAGAAGGCAACTTCACAATTTTCTCAATCACCCTTGTTTCAAAATACAACAATTACCTTAAATAGTTTATACATAAATTATTGGCCAGATATTCACAAAATACACTTTGAGTGAAAATAATATGGTAACACCTCACTCAGAGACACCTATATGGCAGTACCTATATCATAATACAAATCAGAAATAATAGTTGAGGGTGAAAATATGAAAAAGATATAACTTTGGGGTGGGAACTTGACTTTTCTTAAACTTACTGCTCTCTGTCTCCAACACTGTGCTATATCAACTATAATCTTACTGCCTCTTCTCTATAAAGATGAATATATCCAGACCAGTCCAATTGGGTAGCCATAGATTGTAACTAATACAAATTGATTTTGTAAAGTATAGTTAATATTCCATCTAGATAACCAGGAATTGTCTTAAATAATAAAGCCATAACCACCTTTTATTTAACCACAATCGTAAATCTCATTCTCCATCAGTTGAAAAAAATATGTAAAACTTCAGATTTAATTCAACTTGAAAACCAATCTATTTCTGTATAAACCATTTTAAGAAAAGGAAGCTGGAATAACATCCCTAATTTTTCAGGATCCTGAGAAATAATTTGGGCAGTGGTTGGAAATAGCATAAAACAAGTTACTAACCAATTTTGCTCACCTCTTCTGTGAGAAAGACATGTTCCTTTAATAGTTAAGAAGGCAATGAATTAGCTGACAAAGACTCATGGGATATGGAAGAAGCTAGGGAAGGGATTTAGGGAATAGGATGTCAGCTTGTGCTGAGATGTAGAATCTTCGATATTTACCAAATCTTTCCCAGAGGTAATGTCTCTGCTGCTATTTTTTTCCTTTTTTCTCTCCGTTGAAGCTAAAAGTTCTGCACTAGCATTGCTTGATGTCTGTGACATTTCCACCACCAAAACTGGAGAAAATCTTGGTTTACAGGAACATACACAAAGTTCATTTTTCTTAGAAGTAGAGGAACAGCTGGGGCATTTTGTGGAATTTTTATCGAAGCCACTACCTGCCATTGCTTAGCTCTGCAACAAAAGCAACTTGAAAGAAAGATATTTCCACTGTTTGAGGAAGAAAACCAGACCAAAAAGGATAAGGCAGTTGATGGTGAAACTGTAACTTCCAACTGGTGAAGTCCTTAGGTTAATGATGCACTAGGTTTATTTTCACACATGAGAGCTGCAGAAAGAAAAGAAATTCACCATTTAGAAAATTCTTATCCTACTACCCTCCTAAAAATCAGAGAAAAACTAGCAACTAGAACTACAAGCATCCAGTATAAACATAAAAAGTTAATCTTTACAACAAAACTGGACCACAAAACTGCTAAAAAATATGGTGTGAAACAGTGTCTTATCAAACTACAGTAGTGAGTTATAAAATCAGTTTGGTAGGTTGATATCAATTTTTTAAAATAGATGAGAATAGATAATATCAGAGTATTTTGCATATACCTTTTGTAAGTTCTGTGAAACTTTTAACTATATAGATATATATATATATTGTGTGTGTGTGTGTGTGTGTGTGTGTGTGTATGTGTATATTAGGTCACAGTATAAAATGTATTTCTTAATATAGATTGTGGAAAAAAAAAGGGGGGGAGCTTAAAAATATTAGTGTAAAACATATACATTACTGTGGTTTCAAAATTTAAATCTTAGTCTATTTATTTATTTATTTTTAATTTGAGATAAGGTCTCACTCTGTCACTCCAGGTAGAGTGCAGTGGCCTCATCATAGACCACTGAAATCTCAAACTCCCGGGCTCAAGCAATCCTCCTGCCTCAGCCTCCCAAGTAGCTGGGAGTACAGGTGCTCACCACTGCCATCACACCCAGCTAATTTTTCTATTTTTTACAGAGACAGAGTCTTGCTCTTACTTACGCTGGTCTTGAAATCCTGACCTCAAGCAATCCTTCCACCTGGGGCTCCAAAAGTGCTAGGATTACAGGCATGAGCCACCATGCCAGCCCTTAGTCTATTTATTATTAGAGGAAATTTCTATTACACACTTCACAAAGGAGTGGATAATTTGATTTTATAGAACTACCTATTAAATAATTCTAAAAGTTCAAAGACAGTATTAGAAGTATCCTCATTTTTATACTCAGCAAAAATAAATGGGCGCTATTTTTTCCTTAGTCTAAAATAGGTATGCCAGCATTCTATCTAAGTAGGGTCATTGGCAGCTGTATCATGGCAACTTGGAAAGATCTGAGCTGAGGAGGAAGAGAGGGATGTGCTCTGCAGTACGTATATGGAAGGAGCTTGAGAAACTTCCAGAAGTAATTGGAAACCATTATTATCGTTTTATGTTATATTAGTTCAGATAGTCTTTAAAAGTATATTTTGTAGTCACAGATTGGTAAGTCTGGGGATATATGGAATATATCTTTATCTTTAGAACTGGAATAAACTTGACCAGAATAGGAAGTTAGATGTATTTGATTAAAGAAATGTCTTTCTAAAAAAAATAATAATAATAAAAAAAATAAAAAATAAAAAAAGAAATATCTTTCTAGTCTTAGTTGCCTAAGATTGGTTTTTTAATCAGAAAGGAGTGCTAACTTTTATCAAATCCTTATCTATTGTGATTATCATATTTTTTCTTACTGGATCTTTTGAGACATTGTACAGTACTAAAAGCTTTCCTAATATTAAAGCATACTTGCATTTATAGTATGAACCCTATGTGATCATGATGAGTAATTCTTTTAATGTACTGACATACTGGCATATTTGTATTTTGAGTTTTCATAGCTGTATTCATAATTTATACTGGTCTATAATTTTCCTTTTCAGCAATTTTTGTCAGCTTTCGATAAAAGATTCTGGCCCAGTTTCATTAAATAAATGTGGAACTCTTCCATTTTGCAAACTTGGTAACAATCTATATAGCATGGGAATCTTCAGTAAAATCTACCAGACTCATGGAATTCTTTGAAAGATATTTCTAGTAGTTTATCTAATATTTCTATTAGTTTATTGTCCCAGTCTTCCTTACTCATAGAATTCTGATTTTGTTTAGGGTATCAGTATACACTTTTCAAATATTTTCTCCTACAATACAAATATTAGTAAAGATAATACCATTGTCCTTTTATCAAACACATACAACATTCATTTTATTCCTCATTTTCTAACATCCTACATTTCTCAGCCTCCCTTTCAGATTAGGGATAGTCATATGACTTATGGCCATTAAGCTTATGGAATGCAGGCAAAGCTGTACTTAAAAGAAAATTTATATTCTTAAACCTTTATTAAAATCAGCAAAAGAAAGGATAAAAATCTATTAAGTGAGCAGTCGAATCAAAAAAAAATGGAAAAACGTAATTAAGGAGCAAAATTTGAGGTAAATAGAAATGACAAAGAAATGTAGGTTTTGTTGAATTTTGCCTACAACTCCCCATATAAATCTTCACTACCTCTCAGATTTCATATCTTACACCCGACACACACCCGCTTACCCTCCTTGCTACTCCTTGGTTATACCAAGAATAATCTCTTCTCAAGGTTTTTGTCCTTCTGTTTCCTCTGCCTAGGAACATTTACATGGCCTGCTCCCTCATTTCATTGTAGTTTCTGCTCATTTTAGAGACCGTTCCTAACCACCTCATCTAAAACAGCAGGCCCTTTCATGTGTCCCCTCACTTTGCTTTATTTTTCTTCATAACATTTATCATTTCACTCAGAAAGTTTTATAGCAGAGTTCTTTCCTATTTTTAGTGAACAAATGATTCCCAAAAAACTATTCCAGAGCAATGCAAAGCCATCCAGCTAATTTTATTCAGTTAGAATAATCAAAATCTGATCATGGAGGTGTTCCCCAAAAGGGGAATCTACAGGCCAATGTCATTTGTGAATAGTAGTGGGAAAAAATTCTTCTGCTGTGATTAAAATTCAAAATGGAGAGCATATGGACAGGCACATAATAAGTACCTTCCAGACAGGCAGAGGGAGAAAAGAATGCATCTGTTGCCACTAAACACACACACTCTTTCTCTTTCTCTCTCTCTCTCTCTCTCTCTCTTTCTCACACACACACACACACACACACACACACACACACAACCCTCTCTTACAAATACTTGACCTTGTTTTTCAAGTATATGTAGCAAGACAAAGACAGCTCAGGATATACCTGTATACATTTTGCAAAATGATTTAACTTCGGGCCTAGAAGAAAATGTTTTGCATTTCAGGTTAAATATAAAGCTTATAACCATCAATGACTTAGAGCAGTGGGGTAGATCTGCAAATAACAGCCTTTCTATTTAGGAAAAACAGTGCTTTCTCTCTGCAGGTATAGCAAAGTCCCATGTCAGATATGTAAGTCATCATTTTATGCATGCATTAAGAATACCTGATTTTATGGTACTTGTTACAAGAAACTGTAAGAAGTATTCACAATGTAAAGGTTTATTTAAGCTGTAGCTGAGTTCCTTCATTATAAACAGTACTCCTAAAAGCATGCTTACCATATCCTTCAAGTTTTACAAAATATATATACTCAACAAATTTTCAACAGAATCTTTAAATATTAAAATTTTCAATTAAGATGAATTTTGGGGGATCTAAAAACAGTTATTCTTTTCTTAGCTTTGTTCAGAAAGCATTCCCTAAAATTTTGCATCAATTTCTCAATAAATCATTATCATAATATCACTGACATTGTCATAGACTTCTGAGTACTTTCTTGCTCCAGTTTTGTAATTCATCAATGGCCTTAGAAGTATTTGGTAGCTATATTAAGAAAGCATAGGAGTTCCTATTACCTACTCAGGAGTTTCATTTTTGCTCACCAGCCTATCAACCGCTACATTTGCCAAAGTAATGTTCTATTTCTTACCATGGCAATTCTGAAACAACAGGTTGAATGGCTGCATGTAAAATTTCTTGACAAGAATTATATTTCAAATTTAACTTCTTTTTGGCTGGCTGAATTCTAACTATTTTAGCTTAAACAAAAACCAAAATAGAACAAACATTTACTCACATTTCTTTCTCATTTACGAATTGATCTGAAAGATTTGTTACTAAAATAAATCTACTATCTAACAGGCCAAATGATGTCATTCATATTTTAGAGGCATAAAATTAATCAAGTATTAGAAACCTATCTTTATATAAACACAAAGATTAATAGCTCTTCTTCTATACAATCATGGAATTATGTTTAAACAGGACTTTGGATATAAAAAGATGTATTCAGAAATCAAAGAAGCTTCTAATATATAACAATGTTTCTTTGTGTCCCCAAAGACTGGACATATATAGGTATTAGATATAATATAACCAAATAAAATAAGTTCAAATCATGTCAGTATTTAACTAATGCATAAGTTTCCTTTGGCTAAAGGTTTTCATTTTATTTTGAGAACTAAGGCAAGTCAATAAAACAACTCTGATACTAAAAATCTCTGAGCTTTTATTTAATCATAAAAAGGTCTCTTACATATAGGCCCTAGAAGATACACTTATAGCAATTTCCTCAAGAAAATGAACACAAGAATGCTTTTATGAGATATAACTAGCTACAATTTTCTTCCCCAAAAGCAATTTTTTAGTTTTCTTTGCTAAGACTGTGTCTACAAGGAACCTAAACAGCCAGTCAATTTATTCAGAAGTGTGTTCTATTCAAGTGAAGAAAAAGAATTACAGATTGTCTGACATTATGCAGACCAGGCCAAAGGACTGAATGTTTTTCATAACATGTTTACAGAGCCTAAAGAGGGGCCAAATGAGTTTTCAAGATCATAGTCTTACATTCTAAACCAATACTTACTATTTCCATTAAGGGCATGATTAGGGAGGGAAATGAGTCTGTATTGTCTATAAAAGAACTTACAGTATATTTAAAATTTACATTTCAGAAATTCTAAAAATGTTTAATGGTTTAGTTTTTCCTATTTTAATTTGCATAAATATTCTTCCCTGAATAAGCTGTAATAAGGAGGGACAGTATTAAATGTGGTCCCCATTTAAGTTTAAGGCAAGATCAGAAATTTCATCT